CGCACACACACTTGCTCTTATAGTTAAGCAACAATATTTGCTGAACTGTTCTAACAAATTTGTTTAACAATTTTGGCCTTTCTGTTTATGTATATATTGCAACATGGCCAGCAACAATTGTTGTCATATTTGCTGAAAAGCAACAAGTCACAAAAAGTTGACTCTTCCAGACTCCGAAGTCGGGAAGTCAACTTTAAAAGTGGCTAAATTTATTCAATTCGTTTAGTTTAGGATAGTTTAAGGGTAGTTAGGCTAGTTTAAGTTCCGGACATTGTAATCTTAATCGATAAATAATCGTTATCTAAATAAGCTTGCTGAATTGCCAAAGTCTTGGCCAGGCTCCAGGTTCTATTTGCTATGCGGGACCGCAAATGCCAGGAAATTCACATATAATGCCAGGCTAAAGGATACCCTGTAACAAAATATTCTAGCCTGTACATTTTTGTTATAAAACTTCATTTTATGAGTTAAATTTAGTTGAAAAGTGGATTGTTTCTTGTTAATATAGTGTCAGACTAAAAGATACCCTGAAACAAAATAGTCTTGCATATACATTTATGTTAAAGAACCTTCATTTTGTAAGTTAAATTTAGTTGAAAAATTGATTGCTTTTTGTTATATACTCTTAGTTTTTTAGAGGGTATGTTGGCAACCACAATGCGTGGGCGTGACCAACTTGGGTTAGTCACATATTGTTGCCTTGTTCAAACTCTAGCAAAGCTTCCCTAAAGTGAAAGTCTTGACTAAAATTCGACAGTCATTTATTTCACACACACACACACACACGCACACCCGCCCGTATGCATGTGACGTCATGCGATCAGCTGGAATCAGATACGGAAATCGATCTTCATTTGGAAATGTAGCTGTTGCCGACCTTAGCCAATGGCAGGCCGCTTCTCGAATCGTTTGTGGGAATTCCAATTGATTGGTTTCTCATTTCTGTTTAATCAGAGTTTTATCAGTTTCGCCTTTCGGGCACTCGAAGCTATGTATATGCATCATCGCTTTATCTGCCACACCCACCGCTGAGGCTGTGTTGATATTATGTGGAAACAATGGGCACAGAAAAAAAGGTGACGCACTCGCCGCCAGCCAGTCAAAATGATCGCCTCTTTTCTTACACTTTAAGAAAATACTAGGGCATACACAATTCGACTTCAATTTATATAATATATAATCTGCAATCTTGGCTATTCCCAAATGTGTTCATTTCGTTTTGTTGTTCGAAAAGTTACGTAATATTTCGTATAAGTCAGCAATTTTATTTAACTGGCGTTTATCATAATACGTGGAAAAACATTTCATCAGCCAGATAGATTGTTTTCTTGTTTTCTCCAGACGTCATGTTCGTGTCTCTGCCAGGTTCTCAATGATGCTCAAGCTGCTCACGTACTATAATTGGCCAAAAAAAGATCGTTTTTTTGTTCGACTTCGCTCCGACGTCCCTCACCAAGTTAAATGCATTCTACAATAACTCCGATGTCTATAGTTTATCCAAGTTATCCATTGCAGGAAAGGAATAGATGCATATATATAAATATACATACATGTCTATGTATGTATATAGAAATATGTATGGATATATATTTAAAATCGGAACAGTTCCAGTTTACATATATATAATTTTGAACGCCCTTTGTGTGTTTTTGAGTTTTGAGAGTGTGCTCATTAAATGTACCACTAGTGTATATATTCAACTGAATTTCGCACAGTGTATCGCTGCAGCTGTAATCATTGCCGATGACCGCACATATGCTCTAACCTCCTGTGCACGCTGCCGACAGCGCTGCCAACGGCAACGGCGACGGCGACTGCGACTGCGACCGATGCAGCAGCAATGACATATGGACAGTCGAAACGCGAAGCGGGATGACTCAAATTGTTGGCATGCTAGGGCAGCGACGTCAACGCCAACGACGACGGCGACGCCGACGTCGGTAACGCTTTTGACCAATCCAAGCGGCGCATGCGTTGTTAGCTTTGCTTCTTGGAATTGTACCTGTCGAGCGATTCAAACCTTCGGTCTTTTAACTGTTTGTCTGTCTGTCTGTTCGTTTCTCTGCTCTTTCGTTTCGTTCTTTTTGGCTGCCCCAGCCCCCCTCACGCCCTAACACGACACGACACGACACACACCCCTGCAGCCCAATGCAGTTCAATAAAGTTCGTTAACATGACTCGGCTGGGCAGCACTAGCAGCAGCAGCAGCAGCAGCAGGAGCGGCAAATAGTCATCAAAGCAGCGGCGCGTCGCGTCGCTTCGACGTCAGCGTCGACGCAGCAGCAAACCGCTTGCTATCAGCAGTTGGCTTTGTGTTGTTGTTTCCCTTGTTGCTTTTGTTCTTCTGCTTGCTGCTGCTGCTGTTGTTGTTGTTGTTGTTGTTGCTGTTGTGACTCTGCTGTGCGCTTTGTTGTTTAATTTGCTGCTAGATCGCAGCGTGCTGCCTTTTTTTCCGTTTCAGTAATGAAAGAAACTTTGAAAGCGTCGTGTCGCGAATTCGAGTGTCGCCACAGAAACAAACGGAAAGCCCCAACTGCATACTATACCGATACAGTTATCAATTTACTGATATATATATATATACATATATTGAGTATATAAAAGTGTGGCCCTCTTCTTTTTTTTTTGTTTTCTTGTATTTGTTTTTGTGTGTGCCTCTGTGTGTGTTCCAACATGGTGCATCTCTATCAGCGTCGACGCAACCGCGAACAGGTGGGTGGCGTCAGCGATTAGGTAACAAAACACTCACCTCTCCCCCCCTACCGCAGCGCTCCCCTCTCGCTCGTCGTTGTAATTCCCGAAGAAGCGAGTTAAATTGGCCGCCGCCAACGTGCAATGCATGTCAAGTATCTAATTAGCTATCGCAAAACGCATAAGAATGAAAGCCAACCAACTTAGGAGCCCGAAATAGAATTAGGAAGTGGAAGTGGGAAGTGACGACACACAAGTGTGGGGGGTAGGGGGGATTAAAGCCAGCCAATGAGACAATGCTGCTGCCTGGCAAAATGCTCGTGCGGAAGACACATTATTACATTACGCCGCTTCAGATTCAGCTCTAGTCCACTTGAGCCCCACTTTGATACATTTCCAAGAAATGTTTGCGCATGCAACGGTATAAGAGGCCAATCAGCAAATCCCCTCCCCCCCTCCCCCCTTGCCAACTGGAATCGGATTTGCATTTAACCGTTTTATTTGCCTTGGCATATGCCCTTGCCAATTCCAGAAAACTATCCGATTTTCAGAAAATCTAATTAGACAGCTGTTCACAACATTTTTTTTTTCGCTCTGCTGCTGTTGAGCTTTTTTTTTCCATATTTGTATAAGTATATATACCTGTGCTCGAGTATTCTATAAGCTTATCGGTTTGAGTGCTTGTGAAGGGGTTGATAGGGCATGTGGATAGGAGGGGGGGGGGGGGGACAATTCCTGCGATTGATAAGCCCCACAATTGAGCGTGTGTTAAGATTAAGGAAATCAATAAAAAGGGGAGGGGGGGGGCAATATGTGTGTATGTATGTATGCAAGAGAAATTCTGGCAATAACTGTAAACTTTTACTCGGAAACAGTTTATTTCAAATTAATCAACATATTATGTGTGTATCTGCGAATTTATGAAGAACTGTAAATTGTTTCCGAGTAAATCATATTTGATAACAAATATTGCTCTGCTCCCCCATTAATTTTCATATTAATTATGCATGCATGTACTGCAATTAAATATGTATGTATTGCTATCCAGAGTTTACTACAAATACGATTCGAAAATAACTTCTAGATAGAGCTTTTCCGAAATGTTCAAGGGGAGTTGTATCTTTGGCAAATGTATTAGTTTGTGAACACAATATGGTGTATCGCCAATGTATCTTCCAGGCGATAAGTGTTGCTCAGGCGTAAGCGAGACACATCTGAACACCTGGCCCACATAGCCCGTGATACCCTACCTTTTGATTGAGAACATCATGCGAAATGTTGATTGTAAATGAGCTTAAGACCTATTGTAATTAGTTCGATTTGCCACGCAGCTGTCTGCTGTTAGCTGGGATCGGCTCTTCTGACCTCTTTGCCCAGTTGAATAGTACCAAGGTTAATGCAACTGGTCGGGCTCCATATGCCTAACGTTTGGTCTATACGAATTGATCAATCCATTAATGACTCGCATGGCAATTATTTTCATTACTAATTGCACACAATGGCGTAATTTCTCAGCCAGTATACTAATGTCATCGTGTGCTCAGCCAATGCTGTTTATCGGGCAAGTAATGTCCCATTAAAAAGACAATACATATGCATGTGAGTTTCACGAATTGCAATTGGCTCTATTAATCATGGCTCAAGTGGTTAATACAGCTGAATTGTATATGGCAATGACAATGAACACTAAAAAAAATACCCTCTAATTATTAGCTAATGCTAATGATAAAATCAAATTAACTAAAATGACAAATATTTGCAGAATAAGTCTACTTAGTTTTTCCCCAAACTTCTCTGAGTGGGGCAGCTGTTCAATGATATTGTTTTATAGAGAAGTTAAAGGAAAGTGGTCGACTAGTAAATACCCTGCACCATGATCGAAATTTATTTAACAGAAAACCATGAAACCTATAACTTTAAGATCTAATAAACATTGATTCCTTACAATATATATAAAATTATTATCAATCTTTGAAAATCTTGACTTATTTATGGCAGAAAATAGCCCTTACTTTAGCATAGTTTTTTAAGTAATTCGAAGCATGCCTTAAAACCCATTTAATGTATCAATATAACATCAACTTATGATCAAAATCTTGGATCGAATATTGTTATTATAATGGGAACAACAGAAGAGCTGTTGTTTTTTTTACCTCTACTCTCTCATTTACCTTTTACCATATATGATCTCGTTTTGTCGTTAGGAACTCGCTTTATTTTTCAATTATTTATTTGTTTTTGCTGTTGATGTTATTTAGCAGAAGTGCCTAATTGCCATTGTTGTCATTTCATTTTATGCTACTTCACAGGCTGTCAAACAATTTATTGATCTCTGCAACAATTTAGGCGCCAACTGCAGCCAAGCAGCAGCAGCAGCAGCAACAGCCGCCGCCTCCTCGAATGCCAGCACATCCAATTTCCACGTTCACATCAATACACAACAGCAACAACAACTGACAACAACGACAGCAACAGTCGCTCCAGACACACTAAATCCATCAACAACAACAATATCGTCATCATCATCATCATCATTGCCCATTAGGCGTCACATCTCGCACACGACGGCCGTCAAGTTCTTGTACGCCCGTAAGTTTGATATACCACGCGCCGTGTCCCTGTATGAACAGCATGAGCAGATCCGCCAGAGGGAATACCTATATAACATTGATGCAGGTGTAGAGCCGTTGCGCTCCGAGCTGCAGACGGGCAAATTTACAATACTGGTGCGTATCACTCGAGACTAGGCTAGAAGATCAGACTAGCAAACTAACTGAATCTATATCTGTATCTGTATCTTTTGTTCTTAGCCGGCGCGCACTTCGAGCGGAGCGGCGATTGCGCTCTTTACGGCCAATCGGCACAGTCCGCTGAGCGCCTCGCATACGACCACATTACAGGGTATTGTCTATCAGCTGGACTGTGCGCTGCAGGATACGGAGACGCAGCGTGCGGGACTTGTTTTTATCTACGATATGAGTGGATCCAAATATTCGAATTTTGATTATGATCTATCCCAAAAGATTCTCACGCTGCTCAAGGTGAGTTTTTCCTAACATTTTCCATTGCATACTTTGCGGCTGCGATTGAAATTTACCCTGCCTGAGCTTGGCACACTTTGCGTATGTCTTATGTGGGTCAGAAGGGCAGGGGTGTGTGTGTGTGTGTTTGTGGGTGCGTGTCACACAAATTTGAATACATATATATATGTCGTCCCCAAAGGCATATCTATTGTGCATTTCATTTAACGTTGGCATTTTGGGTCTTCAAGCTGAAAATTTGGTTTCATTTCGTTGGTTTTGTAAAGATACCCTTGCCTTGGTTGCGGCATTATAACTTTGGCGCAAAGTATGCTTGAGGTGTACATTTACACTCAACTCGTTGAAAATAGCTAAAAAGGGTATTGTGTAATTTAAGCCATGTGTGTGTGAGAGCCGGAAGGAATAAAGTAAATTATAAAGGAGCCAAGAATCTACAAATGTTCGAATCTTTATATCTTTAGAAAATATATTTTCTCGTACTTATCCCTACTTTTTTTATGTCTCGCTATCTAGAATGAATCGCTCAAAAATGCAGTTATACAAATAAATAATAAAAAAAAAACCCAAGTCATTTGCATTGCCCACAAAAACCCAATTAACGTGGGCTGCACCTGAATTGTAGTTGCTGCTTTAAAGTCTGCCTAAAGCCAGTTGTTTGTGGCAACCCCAGCACCAGGATGGCATCAAGGTGCTCCCTGTGCTCCCTGTGGCTGCTTCACTGGAAGACTCGGAAATCCTTTTTTAAGCAGCTCTTCAACGGAAATAGTTAAGCTTTATAATCAGCGTCGCAACAATGCCAGTTTATACACACACACACACACACGCATACACACACATTTAGAAGAGACGACCACGCGCGCGCGCACACACACACACACACGCGCACGCACACACATAGGCAGCGCTGTGGCGGTCAAATCGGTGCCTTTTATACGCCTACGCCAAAAGCTGAGACCGGCGAGTTAGACGTCATTTTCTTTTTTAGCTAAGCCGGGCAGGGGCGCGGGGAAGGGGTGGGCTTGGGGTAGCTGCTGGGGCAGCCTCAGCAACAACAAAAGGAACAACAAAAAAACAGGTAGCTGTTAATCTGCCTGTTTTCCATTTGATTCAGTTTTATTTGCTGGGGCAGCTAATATGACAAAGGCAGCACATGCACACACGCACGCTGTGCATGTGCATGCGGTGTGCATGTGTGTGTACACACGCGCAGTGCGTTGCCATGGCACTTCAACGTTGAAGAATGCGCGGGATTATGCAGAGACAATGGACACACACATGGACATAAATATATGTATGCATTAGTGGGCACGTGTATAGCAAGAGCAATGCACAATGCAAATGTGTGTGTAAATACATGTGCATGTGTTTGCACATATACACACAAGGTGTTACAAACGCCGGCCGGTAGTAGCCGCTGTCTTGGCAGAGATCAAGTCAATAGGTACATAGATGTGTACCTAATGCACATATAATTACAAAGAAAATACTTACATGTGTACATAAATATATGCATTCAACTGTTTTTAAATCAAAACGCAAATACAAAAAAAAAAATAAAAAGCTCAACAATACAATAATTTGCGTGGGCACAAAGCAGCGACGGCGGCAGCAGCAGCAGCAGCGACGGCGGCGGCAGCGCAGCAGCATAATAGCTGAGAGGCTAAACAAATTGAGAGCAGCACGCGCTTTGCTCTCACATGCGTGAGTGCTGTGTGGCTGTGTGCGAGTGCGTGTGTGTGTGTGGCAGAGTGGGAGAGAGTGGAAGCAAATTGGAATTAAGCAAGGTAAAGCACTGCGAATGAAATGTTTGTAGTTGCCGTACTTTTCAATTGTGGCTGCTGCACAGTTTAACAAAAGTGCAAATGATCTGATCAGCCAATTAAGTACATTTATTTACGTACTCTCAAAATGTTATTAAATCTATGTCATTGTTTTAACAAAGGCTCGTTTTGTCTGTAAAATGTACATGCTTATCTAATAGATTTTAGTTTTTCAATGACAGATAAAGTTCTCAACCGCTATAAAAAATATGTAAAAGGTGTGGCTAAAATGTACAAATAAATAAATATATATTTGATTAAGCAAAATTAGAAAACTACCGTTTAAAAGTAAAGCAATATAAAAAAAAAAAAAACAATAAATTGCTAGCCACTGTGCAGTTAAGTAGTTTACGGCTTAAGCGCACTCTCACTCAGTCACACACATACACGCAATGGTTTCACTGGCGTATGCGTAACACTTGCTGTCTCACATTACGCATACGCAGCGTATTGTAGCTGAGAGCATGTGTTGATCAATGCTAAGTAAAAGCTCTTGTACATACAATAAAATATTGCCATATACATATTTATGTACACACGCATTGATAGGTACGGAAAGATTACATGCATATTGGAAAGCGATCATAAAGCTTAGTGCGTGGCACATTGCAACGGCTGCTACACTGTAAACACACAAACGCACGCACGCACTCATTCAAAGTCACACTGACACATTTTCACTCTCGTTTTTAGCGCGCTCGCTTGCTCTCACTCTCTCAATCGCACTCGCACTCCCACCTAGCACTCTCAGTTCTGTCTCTCGAGCAGCTCTCGTTGCGAACGCGCGCCGACGCTTCTGGCTATCTTTTGCTTGATTAACTAATTCAGTTGACGAGTTCTAGTCGAACGTAATAGATTGATTATAAGCAACAGCAAAGCCAAAGAAAGCTACAAAATCAAAACGTGCGTCGTGCGTTATGCGTTGTGCGTTGTGCGTTATGCGTTGTGCGTCTTGTGCTGTGCGTTTTGTCGTGCCGGCTCGTTAACCGTTTCCGTTACGCCCTGCCATTCTCATTCCTCCCACCATTCGCCGTTAACGTCTGTTGAAGGCAGCGCGCGTAGTTCGGAAGCAAAAGTTTGTTGTTGTGTTTCGTGTTAAACTTCAATTTCTTAAAACACAAACAACGTTTTATATATGTATGTATGTATATAGGTAGCTGCACTGCTCAACTCAACTCAACTTAATTATCTGCTATATAGAATTGATATTGTTATTTTTAGGCTCTCACACACACACACACACACGCATACACATGCACACATTCACAGATTACGAGAGCTGTGTGCGTTCATTCATTGCTCAGTTGGCTTAAATAAGTATATTGCGTCGATATTTTTTTGTGTTATTTTTACAACGTGCGCTTTCAGCTTGTTGTTGCTGTTGTTGTTGTTTTTGTTGTAGTTACTGTCTGACATTGACGCAAACGTTCAAATATATGCATGTACATACATGCTTGTTATTTGTACATATTTGTGTGCCAGTGTGTGTGTGTGTGTGTGTGTGTGTGTGTGTGTGAGTTGCTTGTGAACTTAAAATGCAAATTCAAAGTCAACGCGCCAGTATTTACCTCAAATTGTTGTACCACTTCTTTTATACATACACTTCTACATACATACCATATGTACATCTAGATGTCTGTTTATGCGCGTATTTCATTCAGTTTAATTGAGCCTCAACATTGATTTTGTTGTTTTTTGTTGGCGCTTCCGCACTGAAAGTCAAGACGCTTACCATGTGGGCGTTAGGGTTTGCGTCAAGGCTAAGTAACTGAGCATAATTTACATAAATCAGTGACACACTTGTGCCAAGCATGTGGCAACACTGGCATTTGATAGTCTTAAGATCATATGTTGTAGTTGTGGCAACCCTTAATGGATACTCGTTGGGGCTGTGCATGGGCATGCATATGTGCGTGCTTGCAGCCCTGGCAATAGCCACCCACAAGCAACCAACCCAGCGGACAGCTGCAAAAATGCAACCGTGCACAATGCAAAAACCAAAAATCAACCCCAGGTGGCAGCAACGCTCTTGCGCTACGCGTGTCAAAAGCAACCCTAACACTAAGCGGTTTATTTTTGACTAGGGTGGTGAGCGCAAACATCAAAGCAGGCCAGTGGGTTGTCGTGCTTTGCGCTCTCTCGCACACACATACACGCACACAGACATACAGTCACTCACTCTCCCTCTCCCTCTCCCTCTCTCTCTCTGTCACTCTTTCACTGCCACTTTCCTTTGCTGTTTCGGTAATTGTTGTTGTTGTTGTTGGCGGTGGTGGGAGATCGCGCCTGCGTCAAGAACGCAGCGCTGACGCTAGCGTCGTGTGTTTGCCGTTATAACGTTTAACGCTGCCGCCTTCATAGTCGCCAGTCGCCGCAGTAGCAGCGGCAGCAACAACGGCGGCAGAGCCACAACCAGACAAATAGACGTTGTTCAGCTCTCCACGGCGACGCGCACCAAACAAAGTTAATCGTTAGACAGCTCATACATTAAATAAAGTATATGTAGCGAAAACAAGAATAAATACATTTAAAACGCAGTTAATAATTGTTTAGTGAAATCAGCAAAGATATATACATATATATATACGTACATATATATATATTTAAATAGAAAACAATTTTTTTTTTTATATTTTTTTAAGACACAGCAAAAAGTGACAACTGTCTAAAACGCCAAGCCAAAGAAAATCGTAAGCAAAAACGAACGAAACGCTTTTGTGTGCGTGTGTGCGTGCGTGTGTGTGTGTATCTACATATGTATGTTAAATGCTGTTAGACGGCGGCTGCAAGTGCCACAATTTGTTGTTTGAATAAAAGCCACAAATCCAATAAGAGCTGCAACATTTCGATCAGCTAGAAAAGTATCGACAAGTGCAAAAAAGACGCTTACATCTACCGCCGCCGCCGCCGCCCCTCCGCCCGCCCGCTCACCCACATCCCGGCACGCTGCATTAACTGTCTAACTGTAATTGTAGCTAAACAGCGTGTCCATTGTGGATTGTTTTGTTTAGATTTTTTTTTGCACGTTGTGTGTGTGTGTGTTTCATTTTTTTTATTTTGTTGGAAATTTTGGATGCATCATCTGTGCAAATTGTGTAATCGACAACAACAAACAACATTGAGAAGCGCATTATATAAAAACACAAACAACTGAAATCTCAAAAACTAACAAACAAAATT